CACACACACACACACACACACACACACACAGACTCATCCTGACATCTGCTCTTCTTGTCTCTGCAGGTGAAATGTGATGCAGATCGTTGGATCAACACTGATAAAATTAACCCCAACATTAGGAAGCCCAATCCCAACAAAGAAACGCTCAGCGTCTTCCTACTGGTGAGTAATGTGTAGGTGTATTTAACAAAGACTGCTCAACTTTATTTTAAATAATTCTGACTTGAGTTATTCATAGAAACTGATCCCTCCAGTCTAACCTGGTCCTGATCGGATGTGGTTTTCAGGTTTAACTGGTTCTCAGTGTGAAACATTTCCCATTTCACCAAACAGAGAGCTGCACTTATTAGATCATTAGGATCTTTCAGACTTAAGCATCTCCACAGTATTCCAGTCTACATGTATATTTAAATGCACCTTCATTAAATTAAATCACACTATTTTGTCACAATATAAGCATTATAATGCAGTTGTAAGCAGATTGTTTATTGATGTGTTTATTAACAACTCCTATTGACACAGGTAAGCAAGCGAACATATAATCACAATATAAAACAATGTTGTAATGATGTAAAACATACATTCACAGAAGAAGTATTAATTCTGTCCATAAACAAACACTGAGAAATGAAATGAAAAACCTTGTAGCTGCTTATAACAACACCCTAGTCTCTTATTACAGCCACATGTATCATTTTCAGCACATATCATACAAACTGATTGTACTATTACTTGTCCATTTTCCTCATTGTGAATTAATTTTATCAGAATACACGACTGAATAACCAGACTGGACCGGCTCTGATCTCATTGTCTCTGTAGGAAACACGCTGGTGTCAGTTCAGACACCTCTCCTGTTATTTTCCTGTCTTACTCTGTGATGTTTGTTCTACAGTCCTGTTCTGCAGAGCTGTTCTGTGCATCTTTCACCTGCTCCACCCCCAAGGCAAAGAACAGTCAGGTCAACGTCACATTCAGGGTGTGGAAACCTACGTTCATTAAGGTGGGTTCAAAGTTGTTGTTTTACACTCGTTTTGTCTCTTTCTGTCTTTTAGTTTGTCACAGACTTGGACAAATGAGAAAGACAGTAGAATACAGTGTGTGACATATATGGCGTTGTATTTGTGCCTCATACCTGAGCAAGCAATTTGAGATTTGCAGCACAGAAAAATATATTTTGTAGAAACATTTTATTATATTATATTCTGTGCACAGTACATGTATTTGCATGTTTACCATTATCCATATTAATCAGGTTTTATTGCCAACCAGGTTTACACATACAAGACAATTGCTGGGGGGTATGGATATAGAAAATAAGAAAAACAGAAAACAAAAATGAAATATAGAAAATACTATAAGCACCAGGGGAGGGATTGTGCAATATGTACAGTTGGTCCGTTATTTGCCACAGGAAGTTAAAGCCTCAAAGTGTCACACAAACACACAAAGGTATAATTTATCTTCAAAATATAAGTTATGAGTTTATAGAATATGTTTTTCTGTGATGCACAAATATAAAATGTCTATAACACCATAGACAGCTGAGTGATGGATGGGCGGACAGGAAACGTTTAAAGGAGATTTATTGTCTTTACAGGGGGAGTTTTCCTCTCTGCACATGTTGGTGAATGGGACTCTGGGGATCAAAAACACCAACCTGTTTGAGTTGAACTGCGGGAACCGGACCCGGATTGTAAGTCGTAAAGTTTTTGTATCATATGGTTTTGTCATTACATGCGTGTGTGTGTGTGTGTGTTTGAATGCATGGCTACGTTAATTACATGAATGTGTGTCCTGTTCAGGTGAAGATCCAGGTTTCCAAGGAGACCTTAGGAGGAATCCCCATATGGGTCATCATAATCAGCATCCTGATAGGACTGCTGATCCTGGCACTGGTCATCTTCGCTCTTTGGAAGGTAAAGTTTCCCAAGTCCTCAAATATCATGTGCTCATATGTGGGAGCTGGATCTCCCTCCACATGTTTCACAAATTTTAACAGAAGTTTGGAAAAATTGCCAAATGAACGTTTGTGAATTAATTCACGTGTCTGTCCCCTGACGTGATGCAAATAGTAGGTGTTGGTCTGGCAACACTAGGTGGCGCTAATGCTTCCAGTTGAACCATTGCAGAAGGTGAAGGGGAGAGCTAAAGATAAAGAGCAGCACTATACACTTTGTGTTTAGTTTGTCCATCCCGTTCTCATTAATCCAATATCTCAGTTTGGATCTGAAGTCAAGTTGGACTTGAGGATGAACTGTGAACTCACAAAGGATTTTTGGCCATTACACAAGAATTACGCAAAAATTATGACAACATTTCACACAAATGTCTAAAAGGATTTAATAGAACTGTTGGGAAAGAAGCCTTGAGCTAAATGGGATGCAAACGTTAGCTAATTCAGATGAAACCACGTTTCCAGACACTTTTTCTTTCTCTCTGGAGAAAGCTGTAGCTTTTAAAACATCAAACCTTTCCTTTCAAACCGTGAGTAGTTTGGTAATTTGAGTTTTCTGCTCCTCCAGATGGGCTTCTTCAAAAGGAAATCCAGGGACTACACAAAAGAGGAAATCATGGACTGAAGGGTTCGGACAGCGAGCAGCTCTGTGAGCAATTGCTCCCAGAACCACCGGGTCTGTACAGACAGACGGACAGAGGAGGTGCGGGGACACACAAACACCTCAGTGCTGCGACACAGTGACAACCTGGGAAACAAAAGCACTGCTCTCTGTTTCCTACACAGGGTTTAATAATGTTTGCAAATACTTCCATCACTTGTTCTTCAGTGCTTTAAACACCCGGTTACAAAATGGGGGCTGCACCAATGGTCAAATAAGGTGCAGAGACAGACACTTCTTTTTATTGTGTAACGTCTTTGGCACTAACTGTGTATATGAAAAACTCCAACTATCTGAGTCTCCATCTAAAACGATTGCCAAGAAGTGTATTTGCAAACATTATTTGTTCTTGGTCAGATTCTTTCTTGCAGATATCAAATGTAAAATCAGGTCAGGCTGTTGAAGAAGAGGAACCAGACAGGAGGAGGACGACGTCACTCTCCAGGCACCTCTTGGAAAACTACCAAATATCTGTGTTTTACAGAAACCTTCAGAGCTACAACAGCTGCGCTACAGCATCAGGGGGACACAAGCACTCAGGTTTTTCAGTGTGAAGATCCTCACTCACTTTCTGCATCATTACAGCAGCAACGTCTGGCCGTCTGTTCGCTTCAGAGACAATATGTGAACTTTTCCTGTGTCGCAGCGGTCGTCTGAAAGCTTAAGCTCCTGTGTTAAAGTGTGCTTGATTCATTTTTACAAAACACTGTACATTTTGAGTGTTTTATCGCGTTTTGTTTGACATGTTTGTTGAGTTTTTCGCAATATAACTTGGCACATTCTTAATCCTTAAATTCAAATGTTGGATAAAGACACTGACCTGAACACTAGACTTTTCCTAAGCTGAGCTGAAGCCAAAACAAAAAAAACCTTTCTTCTGATGTTAATGAATGTAATTAGATTGGTCACCCTTCAAAATCCAGAGCTTTAATTTTTACTGTAAATATAGCACAGTGCTCAAGAATGTAGAGCTTCAAATGTACATAATTGTGTTCGCTTTACTTCTTGTAATTTAAGAGATGTTGTCCACAAGCCTTTCTTTGTTTTCATGTGCGTGATCTGTGGTCAGAGAACATGAATCTGCTCAGGTGCTACAATATCATGAATGAATGATGACATTTGACTTATAAGAAAACCATCTGGCCTGTAGCTCACAATTCCAAAGCTGATGCAAATATGTAAATATTGTTCTATTTTGATGAGAAAGATGAAAGTTATAATTATTCTGTACTGAAAATATACATGAAGATGAGGGTTTGTATCCACTACTTTGGCTTTAAGTCTGTTGAATGACTGTGTTCTGAATGCAGAGGCTTTAACGTTTTCGAGAGGAGACTTGAGCATATTTTCAATTTCAATTTTTCTATTTTCAAAATAGAGACCAATATTCCTCCAAGATAGAAATAAACATGTTACTATTCACCAGCAGCTTTCTATACAGTTAATAGGATTCACTGGTAAATGTATTGTGAGCGACAACATGTACACAAATCATTAGCATATATAGGCTCATTTCATCCCATATGCGCTGCACAGTACAGTACAAAGTTACTCATTCAGGTTTCCTGTCTAGATTTTCTTGTTGTTGAGTCAGAAGTTGCACGTACAATCCCCTTGTATGTCGAGGAGACGGAGAAACTGTCTCTTTCCTCGCTGTCATACAATAAATCTGAGGGAAGACGACAGGAAACTGAGCGTTTGAATATTTAAATGCCCCTCAGCGCTCACTCCCCACTGTTGACATGAAGCACATGTAATGAATCGTATGTACAGAATGTGTCACTGTTCGTCATTTTAAGATTGCGTGGCTACGTCAGGCTTATACACGAGGGTGGGGTCATAAATCTCTCTTTGTCCACTTGTGTAGAAAGAAGTCGTGGGGGGGTTATTTTTGTCAGCTCTTATATCCTCTGTTCAATTCTGGACTCAAAATGAGAGAAAGGCACAAAGTGAGAGTTGTGAGCACCATCCCAGCCTTCTACACTGCTGTGAAGTCTTCATTGTAATGCACTGGTTTGTCAGACTGTATGCGTCCTCATCAGCACACAAATGAAATGAATCTTATGTACAAAAATAAAGACTTTTTACGACAAATTTCTCAGTCACCACTTCTTGTACTCTTGTTTGTGTAAAAGGCAAAATAAATACATCATAAATACAGTTGAAACATTAAGGTCACAAGCTAATTTACATCCCTTGGCAGGTCAGAAGAACAGGATACAGTACAATGACAAATAAATACAGTAAACTACAGATGAGTAGTGTAAACGTAGAAGGTTACACACAAGAGCACATCACTCACAAAACACAGACGTACACACACATCAAAAGAAAGATTCTTGTCAAATAAAAATCTAAACTGGCTTTTCTGTAAATGTATGTAATCGTAAATCCAAGAATCGTTTGGTTTTGGGTCGTTGATCAGATGAAGTGAGCATTTTGATGATGTCACCCTGGTCTCAGATGTGCATGTGTCAGTACTTTCTTTTTTAATTTTATTAGATTTTATATATTTATGGAGTAAATAACGAATACATTATTAAAATTAATCAACAGATAAAGTGACAGTGAACCTATCTTTTGAAAACAATAGCATTTCTACATTCCATGGAACACATCTCCAGAAATGATTTTTCAGTATGTGATTTATTGGGTTTTTGATTTGTGTGATTTATTGTTGATGTTTCTCTGCATCACTTCCTCTTAATACTACTGGACACATATCCCACTGCTGGGGGGGGGGAACTCCTGCGAGACAATGCTGAGGGCGTGGAGGGGGGGGTCACTCGATCACAGACTGTACGGACCCTGTGGCGTGTGCGACTCTGATGAGGCAGGGCGCCGCCTGGTGGTCACCCCGCGAAACACCCGGCGATAAGTGACACTCTGGGAGGGGAAGCAGAACAAACTGTAAGCCGCTGGCCGGGGGGATCCATCTTGCTGGAGAAAACTGAAACGAGGGTGAAGCATTCTTACCCAGTCGAGCGTCCCAGGAACGGTCTCGGTGCCCCCGTCGAGCGCACTGGGGAGCCCGAGGAGGGGCTGCTTCGCTGCCTGGAGGATGTCCCGACATGAGGGTGAGCTGATCATCGGCTCCACGGAGCCTGGGCTGGAGCTACGTTACCCAGAGCTACCCAGTTAGCCTAGCTCCTGTGCTAGCTGCGGCTAAGTGCTTATTCCAGTCAGGGGGGAGGGTGTCGCTGCTGCGCTTTTCCGCGGCTTGTTTTCCAAGCTTTCCCGAACACACTTGTATCAGCTGCCATTAGATAATGTGTACGCGTGTGTGTTCAATCTAATAACGAGTCAAAGGGCTCCAGACACACGGCAGCACAGAGCAGCTTAGCCTCTGCTAGCTACTGCGCTACCTTACGTTAGCCGGGCTAGCTAGCAGGCTAATGTATGCTAACACAAGGATTCGTCAATGTTGCCCAGACTGGCGCTGATAACCCGTCACCATCACGTAGCCTAACGCAGCCAGCACCGTGTATTTCTCCTATTTGTATCGATTCCAGGGCTCTGGCGCTAAAAGCCCCCTCTGTTGACGAGCACCACTGTTGTTAGCGAATGCACTGTCATCAAGAAGCAGACAGTCCGAGGCCTCTCGCCACCAACCAGGTTAGCTAGGTGGCATGCTACTAGCCAGCGAGGGTTAACTTGCGGTGTGTTTAGCTGCAGACCAGGTGGCAATGTGAATTCCTCTCTATCATGTTAGCTTGGCAGGAGATGGACTGTCTCCCTTTAGGTCGGCGTGCTCTTCAGTAATGGATTCAAGGCACCAACACGGTTAGGTAGATCCAGTGGGACCGACGAGGACTGCTCAGTAACTTTGCTTGTGTTACGTGAAACCTGTTTGGTTGATTGTCCACAGAGGCCCGGGGACAGTGTCCCCCTCGGTTCCATGTTGAGATCACACTGTTTTTAGAAATCACACAGGTATCACTGAGCCCTGCGGTGTGACCGAGCCTTGGACCAACACGTAGAGCTGATAGCTGCATGTTGCCAAACTAATGTTTGTCCAGGTCTGGGTTTGGTTCAGAAATATTTCCTTTGTCTTCACTTTTTAACATTTGGAAGTTGTTTTTGTGCAAGAGGTCAAATGAGTCTGAGGAAATTCCCTCGGTAGTTCCTTAGGTAACATTCAGGGTTTATGAAATAGTGTTTTTTCCCTTCATAAGAATTCTCCATGTGGCAGGAGTTGGAATATTGTGGGTTATATTATTATTATTATTATATTCTAGCTGTATTCTATTTGTGCATCTAAGCTCTGTTAAATATAAGATCTCTTAGAAACTGACTGTTAGAATCTGTGATCAAGTCATTTGTGCAAAATCAGAGCAATGTAATAGATTTTGATGATGATTAAATAATAATTAACTATTTGGAGAATGTAGTGATTAATGATACGCCCCCCCTCTTCTTTATTTCTCTTGACCGGTTGATTCATGGGCATCCAGTTAAATCTAAATCCCAGTGTTCTACCTGAAAATCTGTGACTGTGCTATAAATGAGTAACAATCGCTGCAATGAAAACAGCCCTCGGATGCACTTTTGTGTCATGCGTCTGAGTTGCTTGTGAAGTTCACTGGAATGCCAGAGTTCTTCACTGCCGTCACTTGTGGGTTGGTGCCACTCCAAAACACATGCTCATGTAAGTGAGACTGGCCTGCAGATAGAGATTGCTTTTCTCACTGCCAGTCTCACAGATCCAAGCTTATAAGGAATTTGTAACTTTATTGTCAGGTCCTCATATTTGAATTTGAATTCTTTCTTTTTTTTCTCCTCTCTCTGTTGCAGGTGTGAGCTGTGACGCGTGTTTGAAAGGGAACTTTAGAGGACGACGGTTCAAGTGTTTAATTTGCTACGACTACGACCTGTGCGCATCGTGCTACGAGAGCGGAGCCACAACAACGAGACACACCACAGAGCACCCCATGCAGTGTATATTAACCAGGGTAGACTATGGTAAGGGCCTGGCTGAGAGCCCAGACAGAGGCTTGTGTGGCTGACTGATCATACACAAACCAATCAGGCCTGTGTAGTAAGCCTGCGGCATGAACAAAATACATCCAACATGATTGCAATCATGATGAATGTCATTTATTGGGCGTAGTTTTGTTCTGTTATACTTTTTTGGTGTCAATTATTAAACCTGCGAAAACAATAATGTGTTTACTCTCTTCTTGCAGACCTGTATTATGGAGGAGACACTTTTTCAGTAGAGCAACCGCAGTCGTTCACATGTCCTTACTGTGGCAAGATGGGCTACACAGAGACGTCCCTACAGGAGCATGTCACCTCAGAGCATGCAGAGACTTCCACAGAGGTGGTGAGTATACTGTGCACATGAAGAGCTCCGTACACGCATTCACAGATGTTAATAGTATGTATTAGTCATCATCATATTCTCCCTAATGTTCACAATACTTTCAAATGTTGCCCTTGATGCTGTGAGCCTCTCCAGCAGCCTAGTTTACTTCTGCCATCTGCTCACATAATGTATATTAAAGTCATTAGGCCAATTTGTTCTTTTTAGCTCTCTGTTTGTCTGCATCTCTACTGTTCAGTCTGTTATTGCTGTTTAGCTCTGCACCTCAGTCAGCTAAAATTACTTACCAGAATGAGCGTGCACAGGGCTTTTGTGGATAACTTGTTGTCAGAGAGATAGCAAAACAAGGCAAAGGGTGAGGCTGCAGCAGACGGTGCTGAAACCTGTGGAAGGTTAGCAGTTAGTCTGAAATCAAGGGTGTTATTCCCAGCCGAGCAGGAGTACACCTGACTCAACTCGTTCGACTTCATTTCGGTCTACAAACCTATTGTTTCTGTTGCCCAGCTAAGTGTAGCTAACTAGCGTAAGCATACATCGGCAATTTGAATTGTATTTAAATCTCTTCCGCTATCTGAGATGAACAGTTACAACAAGAGACACAGCACTGCAGCATCTTGAAAGCACCACAGCTTGGACTCAGAAACAGCAACTGAATTTGTGCTTCAGTTGTCCGTCGGTGCCAAGTGAAACCAAGTCCCATCCTCTTTGGACTGTTCGTGTTTTTGATGGATTCTGTTGCTGATGTCATAGCAGAGTGTCTATGTCCTACACCCTATATCTCTCAAAACATTATCCTTACTATGGATGTAATTCTTTAAAAAAAGCTGCTCACAAATACATAGTTTAACCTGGTGCTGTAAAACATGAGAAAACTGTATTGTTAGCGACTACTGTACTTTCACCGTGTGGGTGAATCAGTCACAAGTGTTTACAGTAGCACCAATGTGAATGTGGGATTGTGTCGATGTAAACTAGAGTGACCATGTTCATGTTAATACAAGAACATGTCGTCCAGTGGAACAGTGCGGCTCATTAATGTGTTTAGAATAGGTTTGCTCTAAATAAGAAGAATAAACCTAATCAGACATTTGGATAAATGGAAACTACTCGTCACTCTATCGCTTAGGTCTTTGTTTGAGCTACATCATCAACAGACACGAGGCAGCAGTTAGAGGAAGTGTTTTTTTAACCTGTTGTTGTGAGTGTGTGGTAGGTGAGAATTTGTTGGGGTGTTGCATATGATGAACTACAGACGCTGCTGTCAATGTGTTGTGATACAGGCTTGGCAGAGCTCCCCAGGACTAACTTTTTAGATTAGGTGCACGTGTGCATAATTTAGGTGCACCCAATATTTTTCATTGCACCTTTTGGAACCGCAAACATACCAGTTCCCATATAGACATTGGTAATGTAAGGATGTTTAATTATACAATTTGCCTGGATATGAAAGAGATTCTCAAAGAACTGAAGCTGTAAACTAAACAAGGAAACCTCTAACTTGGTGCATTATTAAGAATATTAAGGTCAGCCCTTCACAATAACAACTTTTGTTGGATGATATTTTGTCCCAGAAATTATTGTGATAATTGATATTGTCATCAATGTGAAGCCATTTTAAACCTCTGTGATAATGATAACATTACAGCAGAATCATGCAAGTACATCCTTTCAACGAGTTACGAACTTAATTCTAAAGAGCATCAGTCTGACATTTGAATTAGAGTTAAAAATGTTAAAATATCCTAAATAAATAAAACATAAACCACAGGCAACCAAAACAAAAATAGCTCTAGAATAAATATTAAACATCTGGCACAGGATATATGTTACCAGCTCAGTGAACAGGATGGATGTGATTTAGATGAGCTTTCGGCTTTGTATTGCATTTGGTCAGTATTCCAGTGTTTCCTCTAGAATCCTGTGTGTGTGTGTCTCTGTCACTCTTCACACAGACTACCACATTTATTCAGTTATTAATCAGTGGTGTCACATCGTGAATCTGGATTGTTCTGGTCACTTTAACACTGGTGTCCTGGATGTGTGCGTCTCGTCTTGTGTGTAGCGCACAAAATGTTGGACTTTGTTTCAATGTGTTTAAATACGTGTCTCACGATCTCAGGAGCTAAATGGTCCCACTCTGGGGCCCGGCTTGGTTTATAGAATAATGTGGTGTGTAGTAACGCCTTAACTCATGTTGTGTTACAATAAAGTAGTCTGTGATGGAGTGTGTGCAACCAAACATGTTGGAGCAGGTTTGAGTTCACAGCACAGTAGATTTGTTTTATCACGTTTTATTTTGTTAGGTTTTTGATTTCATCAATTCATCAACTGTTCATTTTCTTGTTTCGTCATTTTGTCTGTAGTTTGTCAGAAAATAGTGACCAACAGAACAAAAATCATGACAATAAAAAATGTCAAAGAAGCTGGAAATGGGGAATATTCATGTGACTCAAGTGACTTTTACAATTGTTGATCAAAGACTGAAGGATAAATTGTTGTAGTGAATCTTTGTTTTGCATTTGGTCAACACGTGATGGGATGATGTCAAATTACAGAGATTATCATCAAAGTTAAATGATTGAAAAAAAAGAGCTTTCCAGTCCTCTGTGGCCTACTCCTCATCTTGTTGAGGCTGGTCTGAAACACCAGAATCTCCAACCTAATTGTCCACAGTCATAGTTTTTAAAAGGAAGATAAAAATCTGTGCCGCTTCAATTTTGATCATTAAATCAGAGAGATGGTAATTTGTAACTGCCCTGACTGGGTATTATGTTGACAGTCTAAAAGTTTTGGTTCAATATGTCCATATAGTTTCGTTTTGGATGGATGTGGTGAAGATGAAAGTTTTGTTGAAACAGAAACCTTTCTCTCTCTAGATCTGTCCAATATGTGCTGCCTTGCCAGGAGGTGATCCAAACCACGTCACAGATGACTTCACAGCTCACCTCACACTCGAACACAGAGCGCCAAGAGATTTAATATCCTTTCTGAGTCTCCACACATTCTAGAGATGACTTTGTAGATATATTTGAAATGTGTTACACTGTGTCACATTACTGCATTTACCCTTAACAGTCATGTGTACGATGAGTCCAGCAGTGTTCGACATGTACGCAGGATGTTCCACCCTGGACGAGGACTGGGTGGTCCCAGAGCACGACGCACAAATATGCACTTTACTAGTGGCTCCACAGGAGGACTATCATCCTCCTCATCACAGAGCTCCACATACACCCCCAGTAACAGAGAGGCAATGGACCCCATCGCAGGTGAGAACAAGCAGAGTACTGAATAATATTCTTCACAAAGGTGGTTCAGAAAGATCTATGAGATCCTCCACTAGCACCCTGCGCTAGGAAACTAATCAACCATGACAAAACTTTCTATACTGCTTTGTATAAACTGTCCACTCCCTGTCTGAAAAGAGAATACAACAAATAATTTATCATTAACTGCACATTTTCATCTTTGAGTAGTTTGTGTAGAACATTTTTTGTTTGTACAGGAAGCAATAACATGGAATAATGCCTGGTAGAGTTCGGTTTATTTTTTATCAGGCTCAGACAAATTAAATGCGATATTCGTTGAAACCATAATTGCTGATCAGAAGTCGTTACAGTCTCTCGTTCGTTAATGTTGGCCATGTTGTAGCAGCATATCTAAAGAAACCTCTGTTCCTTCTTTTCTCACCCTGCTTCATATCTGCTCACACGTATCTGCAGTGTTGTCCTTTGAAATCATGACTTATTTAGAAACACCCAACAGCAGAGCCTGTTTTTTTTGTTGTGTCTCCTGCAGAGTTGTTGTCTCAGCTGTCAGGTGTGCGGCGTGCAGCAGGGGGGCAAATAAACTCGTCGGGGCCTTCGGCCTCCCAGCTCCAGCAGCTTCAGATGCAGCTGCAGTTAGAGCGGCAGCAGGCACAGGCGGCGCGGCAGCAAGTGGAGACGGGCCGCCACCCAACACGACGCAGCAACAACCCGGGCAACACTGGCACCACCATCCCTCCACCCAGCACAGCAACTGCCAATTCTGCCACAGTGGGTGAAAACAATCCTTCGTCCTCGTCCCACAGCTCCCAGTTCCTATTAGCACGGTGAGTGTGGCCTGTCATAATAGCCAAGATGGTGTCTTAAGAAAACTCAGCATGACTTATATTGTTTCCACTGTTAATTATACTTGTGCATTCACATCTGAGAAAGTGTTCAAGTAATTTTAATATAACCAGATTATATTAACCAGATTTTTACATTCTTTGTATTAAAAACATTTGAACTTGAATGTTATACAATTATCATCATCACTTTCTTTAGGTTGAATGAACCTAAGATGTCCGAAGCAGAGCGGCAGTTTCTAGAAGGAGAGCGCGCGGACCGCAGCCTGTTCGTGCAGGAGCTGCTGCTGTCGACGCTGATGCACGAAGAGAGCTCCTCCTCTGACGAGGAAGAGCGTCGAGACTTCGCCGACTTCGGGGCCATGGGCTGCGTGGATATCATGCCTTTAGATGTGGCGCTGGAGAACCTCCAGCTCAGAGAGAGCAGCTCCACAGGCAAGGAGCCTCCGCCGCCTCCTCTTTGATGTCCGAGCATCAAGCAGACTGTGTCCTCTCTGCTGCAACTGTCAGTGATGGACAGCAAAACAGCGGCAGTCCTCCCCCCCCGTCCCCGTCCCTCTGGCCTCACCCTTTTTTCTCCCTCTTCATTTTCTGAGTTTGTTTTTTGGTGATTGTAATTTCAGGCCTGTCACCATTTTTGTTACATTGTAAACAAGAATAAATGAGAGAAAGTGGGATAAATGTACGAGTGCGCAATAGCAAGTGAGCAAGCGAGAAATATATAAATATATATATATATAAATATATAAAATATATATATATGAAGTTGATAATCAATCCACATAACTTTTCTTTTTCAGGTAAATGTTACAGGCAGCTGTGGCAGACCTTTGCTTCCTGTGACATGCAAACAAACGGCTCTCCGTAAAAAAAAAAATACTCCACATTCAAAAGTCAAGAGAGCATAGGCTCCTCTGATGAAGCTGCTGTGTGTGTGTGTTAATGACTATTAATAAATAAAAAGTGCTTGGATGGGTTACCATAACTACTGCATGCAGTTATTTGCAGCGTGCATGACTTTTAATGACCCTGTCATTAAAACCTTTATTTTATTTTTAATATCCCAAAGCTTTCAACTGTTTTTAAATGGTTACTTCAAACATGGTTAAGTATTGAAAATCGAGTAGTTTACAAAAGTGACATGCAGAAATTTAACTCTTTATATACTGTGTGTTGTTTCAAAGGTTTTCTTTGAATGAGTATATATATATATATATCTATATATATATCATGGAGATAACATTTGGATTGAATCGGATTCTTGAAGAAACGCTGCACTGTGTGTGTCTCTCAGCTCCCGTTTGCCTTTTCTCTGTGACCAATGTCTGAATATGTCGGCGGCCGCAGAGCTACGACTACATGCATCAGATGAAAACAAGGAACAGGAGAAAAGAGATCTTGCCTCTGAAAAATGTTCCTAGATGTTAATATTTAGTGATAAGCTGTTTAGGTACAGTATAACTTTATAATTTATAGACGAGTACAAACGCCCAGCGATCCATTCTTCTTTCACAGTTTTCTGACAGTCACTCTGCTTATGTCCAGTGTCAGACTCAGCCTAATGCTTTAGATGCTTTAACTAATTTCTTTGTTGGGTAACAGGAGCTTGAGACTTTCTGCACTGCAATTTTATTTTTTTGTTTGTTTTTTAAGAGAAATCATTTTTTCTGCTAGGGTTAGCACTTTCTATTTATTCATGTTTGTTTTCTGACTCTTTTTGAGCCTTGATATGAATCATGCCACCTTCATGCCTATACTTTTACCCTCTATGTAAAATACAAAGAGATGTATATTGAATTTGTGCGTTAAATTTCATAATGGTTCTAAGACTTGGGCAGACTTTTTTTTAAGGTGTAAATTTAGAATACAATAAATATAAACTGCGCACAGCTTTTGATGAAACTGAGAGGTCGTCACACCTTTTGCATTTTGTGATATTGTTGTGATTCCATTAATGTTTGTAGCTGGCACGATCATAATCATATGATGCCACGTAAACTTAAAATCTTAATGTCCTTTAGGAGAGAAGAGGGAAGCGCAACAAATCAGCATCAAATACTTTATAACTTTATGTTTTCACTTCCCTCTGTGTGTTGGCAGGATTACGTCAAAAACACTGAGCCTAATTTCTTGAAACAGGGTGGAAGGGTGACAAAGACGAAACCAGTAACTTATGAAACAGGTTCAATCAAGAAGGAAGATCCAGGATCTTTATGAGAAATACAGATGCTGGATATATAATATCTTTATACATAAATAATAAAACTATTTCTACAGCACTTATCAAGGTAACAAAGTGCTTTACAAAATACATGGACATAGAAGAAAACGAGACAAAACTAAATTTAAGACAACACAAAGAAAATGTTAAAAACAAGACTAATATCTGCATATGAAGTCTAATGTGAACCATTTATTTAATGTTTATAGGAGGCTTATTGATGAATAAATATAAATAGGGAGATAGAGAGAATTCTCTGAAAAACACATGATGTTAAATAACCAATGGTGGAGGAAGACCTTAATAATGTATTAAGTAAAAGTACAAATAAGTGGACAAAAAAATGGACCCAAGTAACTACCACATTAACTTAAAATAAAAGTAATTGCTTTAAAACATACTTAAAGTATTTACCCTATTAATGGTACCTGTCTGCTCTGATTGGATCAATGGATCACTTCCCCCCTCTTTATTGATTACTTAAAAAAATATAAAAACTGTGTAACGTATGCAGTGTCAAGATGAAGTGGAGTCGACAGTGCAGATATTTGCTTATTAATGTGTTGGAGTAATATTGAAAAGTACCTGAAAATAAATCTACTTGAGAATCTTACAAATAGATGAAAAATATTCCCAATGGAATATTAGTACTTTGTCACATCCCACTACAGATAGCAACATACATGTGAATATAATACACATCATCAAAGCCAGATAAGCAAAAATAATATGTATTAGTTATTCGTTACTACATCAATAGGTGAACACCCTACTTAAATAAAAAGGGATTGTTCTTATATATGTTTATATAATTTATATAATCTACATAATCCGTCCGGCAGCAGACACACAGTTTGTTAGACACGTGATGGATCAACACTGCTACTCTCCTGCCAGTCTGTAACATTGCAATACACCAAGGTAGGTTATACAGTATAACTGACATATGTGTATGTAGAACTTGAAACAATATAGGCATCGTGTCTGAACAACAGTTAGCTGTGGCAACTGCCTTGTCCGTGTGTGTGTGTGTGTAGTTACAGCTGTCTCTGTCACTCCTCTGTAGTTATTGTTAGAAACAAATGGGGCCCATGAGATACCTTTCACGACCTGTGTCAGGCTGTTGGTTGTTTTTAAAGAATCCCACCGACCAAAAGCAACCGTGTCACGCAGATTAAATATCAATCCCACTTTATAGGAGACAATCTGTTAGTGTGTTAGCGACAAGCTGCGTCAGAATTAGGTCAATAAACGACACAAAAATCTGTCTCTGGGATTTGGTTTGATTATCAAACATGTCAAACCACAGTGGCTTCAAACTGCATGGAAACCTGATGAGGGAGACATGAAGAGTCCTGAGGGACACCGTGTATTGTAAGACATACCACCTTTATTAAATGCACAATATCACAAGGAACATTTCCATTAATTGTGGATAAGCTACTCACATGATGCACAAAGCATTGAATTGATTGATAGAACTGGCTGATTAAAGCAGGATTAAATCTGCCAGAGGAGCACACACACACACACACACACACATACACACTCACTCACACACACACTTGCATACAGATGCATGTGCAAACATGCACACACACCACCTCAGAGACATTGCTCACACTCACTCTCTCTCTCTCTTTGTAGTCACACAGTAAGTAAAATTTGTCGTTATCTGCACAGGAATGAAAACTGCCGTCTTTTTTTCTTCTACCATGTATTTACAAAAAAAAAAAAAACATGAGTCCGACCCCACCCCCCCACCCCCACCCCCAACAACCCCGGCAAAGATAGGTTACATTCAAAAAAGTCCCGACCCCCTCTTCTAGATTACATTCAAAATAATATACTATTCATGATGCAAAGTCACAGTTATTCATCTGAAAGAGGATCAAGATAGGCTACAGTTCAAATCAGAGGTCGAGCGGCGGGGTCGGGCTGGGAGGTGACCTTTGACCTCCGTGCCAGCAGGCCGTGCGTCTGCCTGGACGCCTGTCGGCCAGGAGGGGTCCTGATGTCGAATCAGATCCAGAGTCTATGGTCCTCCTTTTCAGACAGGCAGCATTTCAAACAGCCTCTGTGTGAGCTCCCCATCACAGTGGAGAGGAAAGGAGAGAGAGATCATTTTTCTTTTTTTCTTCTTTTCTTCTTCTTCAGAGAAAAACACATTGTTCAAAGAAAGTCCTCCGCAGATCAAAAGTTGCCAAAAAAAGGATTGTATTCTCACCGGTATTATGAACGAGCACAAAGAAATTATACAATGTAGCACAAATAAAATCCTATTTACATATAGTTTGTATTGCCAGTGGCCCATAACACATTGTCTTCAATAGATGTCACACGGTTTTGACATGATACCTGCTTAGAACAGATTATACTATTAAACATATCCTACTATTCATATAGACGAATATCAGAACTGTACAGAATGGACAGCAGGTTATGTACAGCGGACACGTGGTTATTATACAGAGCGGACAGACGTTGGAATCAAACCATGGAGGGATAAAGAAACCATCATGGAGAACAAGATGTTCGGACATAGCTGGCGTAGCGAGGGTGATTTCTTTTTTGTATCTAAGTGCAACTAAGGTTGTGCATTTGTCAAGTAACGCTACAAAGTGCACTTAACATAACAAAGATCCTTAACGCTTAATGTCTCCTTATGGAAATGCAGGATGGTTGTTATGAGGGAGGGAGTGATGGCTGATGTTTTTGCAAAGATTAATTCAGGACTTTTTTGACATCTCAGGAAAACAACTTAATTTGGAAAACAATAACAGCGATGCATTTTAAAACTACTTTCCTGTGTTAAGTTCTTCCTCCAAAAAATGCCTAGAAATGTGCTGCAGCGCTGCCCAGGGCGAGGAGCAGCATCAGCTCCAGCCCGGCTGACTGGGACCGCTTGGAGAGAGGAAAACTCCCCAGGGACACTTTAAGGGCAATCAGCCTCTTAATGAATCCTTTTACTGCACTCTCTTAGCCCACTAAAGATGAGATCTGCTCTTGTAATGGAAATAAACGACAAATAAACAGGTTGGGACTTCAATACACACACGAGCCAGATGCTGAAAACAATAGAAATCCTCCATACATGTAACCTCCATCAGACAGAAAGTGAGGATGATGCTCCAGAGGTTAATCTTCTCTCGTCAAACACCACAAACACGATTTCATCAGCATCACACACAGCGTTTGACGACCTGTGTTGGAACATGCACACACGACCACGTCACTCACAGACACCGCACAGCAGAGATATGCTAAATGGCATCGCAACTGAATGAAAAGTAAAAAACGACCTGCGCTCGTCTTGTCTTCAGATCAGACACAGCTCCACACGACTGAGTCCTCGTTCTTTGTGCTTCATGTGCATCAAATGAACAACATTTAAAACACCACTCTAGAAATACTGATGAGCTGGTGTTATAAGTGTCAAATATGAACAGATATTTACAGAAAATTGGACTAATGATATAATAAAAAAAACTGTGTTGTTTTCCCTCATGTCTCACAACCATGACACTGGTTTTACTTTGGGAATTCTTCAGTGGACTTCAGCAGGTTATTACGATGGAGTATTAGGGCCATGTTTAAGAAAAACTAAAAAGTCATCATTTTGGGCTGCATGTTAGAGGGGAATATAAGAAGATCAGTTCATCTCCTGGGTTAAAATGAGTAATGTGGAGA